CAGAGGTCCTGGGGATTGAATCCAGGACCTTGTGCGTGCGAGCAAGCACTCTCCCACTGAGCGATATCCTCCCCCTATTCATTTCTAACATGGGCACCCTAAGCTCTAAGGCTCAGAAGGGCTGAATTTGTGGCTCTCATTTTGATAAACTCTCATACTGATAGAATAAAACAATTTCAGCTACTGAGGATATCTAACTGGCATAGGATCTGTTTGGGGTCAAGGGAGTGTCCTCTGTGTCCCTGAAATCTCACCACATAGAAAAACTCCAAACCGTGGGTACATGTCTGCTGGCTCACCTCTGCAGCGTATCTCACTCCGTCCACCACGTGTTCAGAGCCGTGATCGTCAGCGGATCCCCAGTGAAGGTGAAACTGGCGTAACCTGTAGCTTCCAGTGAGCGGACCCCCACGCAGAACTAAATGTCAATACATTTTAAATTTTTAGCAAGAAAAAAAACTGTACACATGCTGTCCCAACCCACAGTGTCTCCCTGAATTACTCAACATGTCCATGATCCTGAGGAGTTTTTTAGAAATGTGTCACTCAGTTTGCTGCCAGAAACACAACTGGTAGGTAAATGAGGAATAAAAACAAATATTTGAAAAGGTTAGAGAGCCCACATTATAGATTTTTATCAAATAACTGGGAAATCATGACAGACACACTAGTTAAAAAAGAAGTAGGAGAAATTAGGAGTTCATAAAGGTGAAGAATAGCTCTGTTTAACGCAGGAGGTCGGCCTAAGTAAGAACGTGATATGCGAAGAGGTCCACCTTGAACTTGGGAGGGCAGTCCGGCATCACAGTCAGTGAATCGGCTTCGGCATTGGAAGACCTGGGTTCACACCAACTGTGTGATCTTGCACAAACCTTTTAACCTTGAAGCTTCAGTTTTTCATGTCTATAACCTCAAGACAGTAACGCTACCTCCTCCTACACTGTTGTGAAAAGAGAACAAAAACTGAACACAAAGCACTTATCACTGCCGGCCAGCCAGCCAGCACGCTGGACATGTTCACCATTATTACTATTTTATTGCTGTTATCATTACTACAAAACCCGGCGAATTAAGCATGTTTTTTATACTTGAATTCTATCTTCTTGAGGAAACATAAAATAGAGGACAGAATTAACTCTTTTTTAAAAAATCCATCATATCTTTGTCCCTTTGGCAGGGTATATTTTAGTACTTCGCCTCAACAAATATGATCTCTAAAAACCATGGCAATAGAATCATATGTTAATAAATAGAAAAGCTTCTTAATAGAAAATACAGCCCTAAACTGTCTCCTCCCAATTAGTCTTTATTGGACATGCTTTAAAGAATATGGGAGGATAAGGAAGCACTGGATGCTGGTTACACCAAAAGCATTACTAATTGCTCATCAACACCCAATAGGATTAAGCGCTGGATTGGTGAGGTGCAGCCTTAACAATAGTTTGATTTAAATTACCCTCCTCTTCTATCTCCAAATTTGGCAAGAATGATCCACCTTTGGCAAGAATGATCCACCTTATATAAGAAGCAGAAGACGTTAAGAGGTATCATATGCAGTCTTCTACAAACAGCAAGAAAAAAAGGACAAGATAATACATTTGCTAAGACACACATCTCTTTGAGCTACATTGTAGGAGAAAGAGTAACACAGACTGCCATCTGTCTGGAGCAGTACAGCTGAACTCATTTCTCCCTGACTCAGTTTGACTCAGCTGAAGTTGAGCACCAGTGATTAAGAATTGGTGTAGTAGTTGGAATCAGCAGACCTGGGAACAGTCCCAGTTCACCTACTAAATTCTGCGATCTTTCCAAACTCTTAGCCTCCATGGGCTTCAGCTTTCTTGTCTGTATTCATGATTGTTCGTCTGTTTTTAATGGGGAGATTGGACTGGATGCTCCTTAACTTCCACAGTTCTCAAAACGTCGTAAGGGAAAAACAAAAATTGGGAGCGTGTATAATAAAATTTGTTGTAAGGTCGAATGGTTGGGGCTTCCTTGAGATTCATTTGGATCCAGATTTCTTTATGATAAATAAAGAATGCTATTTTCAAAGCCCTCTAAAAAATAAAATTGAAGAGAAAACCATTTACACCAGACTCTAGAGCTCACTCTTCTGTTACTCTGTCACAAACTGAAAATTTTACTGTTTCTTCTCCCACTGGACAATGTCCAAGAGGGCAGACACTGCCTGCTTGCGTCCCTGCGGGACCCGTCACCTAACACGGTAACTATCACAGAGGAGATGCACAGTAAATATTTGATAAGTGAATGAATAAAATATTTGATTTGTATTTAAACAAACACTTTCAAAGATGATTCAGAGACAAATTAGTTTAAAAGGCACACTTCTCTAAGTGACTCCACATAGCACAGATGCAGTGGCATTCCAAATCAAAAGAAATCAACAGCTCTTTTGTTTCTTTTTTCCCTTGCTGTTGCATAAAAAGACCTGAGCTGAACCATAAAGTCATGCCTTCATAGATAAGAAGCAGATTAGAGAGCTGGAGTGATCAGTGTGGAACTGACTTTGGGAGAAGATAAAAGCCAGCTGGCTCAGGAGAAGAAAGTGATATCAAAAAACACACATTATTAGGGAAATGTTCAAGAATAATGGTCTCTGGAAAGCCTGCTCTGAATCCAGGGTTTAAAGCCAGATCAGCACACCTTTGCTTAGTTAAGCAATGGAGATTGCCTTACTCTTTACATATCTGGACTCTACATTCAAGTGTTTCAACCGAAATCTCCAGCCTGGGACTATGAGAGCAAATGTCTGATCATGAAGACCTTTCTCTTGGAGCAGCACTGTTTCAAAGAAACACAGGGTGGGAAAAAGCAAATCAAAATACCAAGGTTAATTTATCACTAACTTTGAGATGGTCTGTCGTAAAACAGCTCAACTATAGTATAAAATGAATAATGGTGACAAAATCATTTTTAATGAGAATGACTAAGTGTTTTGTTCAAGAGTTGAATTATTCTTCTTCCTTTCCAACCTAGATGAATAAGTATATATTGTTGTTTCCATATCATGTTTGAAAACAAGTCATTATTTCTCCAAACTCATGCTTGGCATATATATATAAAATAGTCCATGTATTCTTCCTTTAAGATTTATAAAAATCTATTCCAAATAATACTCTCATATAGGAAGTCTAGAGAGATTAAGAAAACAGAGTTAAATGCCATTAAAGTTTGGAAAACTTTTAATAACTTAGGAAAAGCATGTCTGGCATTTGCTATATGCTGCAAAAACCAACTAGAAATGTATGTGTTATTCTACTGAACTTGACTTTTTCGTTGTCAGTAATTTGCTTACCTACTCATTTCCAAATCTACAATATCATCAGCTACCTTAAATGATAAGCCAGGCTGGTGACAAAATCAGAAAAAAAGAAATTAATTTGCAAGTCAACACCCTTTGTCTGTTCATGCACTGTCTATCTCACTAGGATGCAAACTCTTTTAAAGTAGAAACAATCTTGTTCTCCTGTATCCCCAGTGCCTAGGAGAGTGCCTGGATCAAAAAACAAAAATGTTACTAAGATAAAGTAAGAAAGAGACATCACCTGCAGAAGCACTCCTGCACAAACCTTGTTTGTAAGGATGCTACTGAAGTGACCTGGGCACCTCCAAAGATGCTCATCCACAGAAAGGACACAGACAATTATTATTCATTATGATTTTTATTATTAGCCATTAATAATTATTGAGTATTTACTACATGCCAGGAACTATCTCATTTATTAAATCAAAAAACAGTAATACCATAGCCTTTAAAAATTAAATATTCAAACAATAAATAATCTACCAATGTTTAAACTACTAAGGTGTCAAACAGTAAATATTCATTGATTTCTGGTGGTTTGTAATTTTATTAGGGCTTCATCTGTGTATACTAAGGCTTGCTGGACCATTGTCCCAAATCATGGTATTTTCCATGTCCTCCAAGGAACATCATACCAAAAAAAAAAGCTTTCAAGTACCTACTGTGTGCCAGGCACCATGCACAGCAGATGAGCAAGACAGAGCTGTTGCTCACAAAGGAGCCTTTAGCTGAGCAG